CTTAATATTATAATAACCCTTTTTATACAAACTTAGTTCAATAACATTTTTGAACTTCGTGTATGACAAATTTTGTATATTTTCTGGGATTTTGTTGTAAAAGCGTATACATCGCCCCAAGAATGAATTACTGACTCGGTGGAGTCGAGTAACTGGTACTACCAGCTTGTGTCTGCTCCTAGTATTTACAGAATGAATATCACTTATTTTCGCCTCTCCCTCATTAGACCTCTCCAACATTACGTTTCGGTGATTGCTGCCAGTTTTCACCCTTGCGATCACTGAGACATCACTGAACAATTGGCGTCTGGTCGTCATAGTGAAGTCAATCTCATTTTTTGTCGAACCATCGGGGCTCGACCAGGTCCACTTTCTGTGGGGCCGCTTTTGGAAGAAAGATTTCATCATAAAAAAACCCTCTTTCTCCATAAAGTCGGCCAGCTGCTGGCCCTTTCCCGCCCTCTTTCTCCTCTTCTTTGCCCTATCCCGAATTTCCCTACCTTCAGCTCACCGTTCTTTCTTGTGCCCAGTTTTGCGTTTAAGTCTCCCATTAACACCGTATAGTGAGATTTGGAGGAATGCATGGCTCTATAAATATCCTCATACATTTCCTCCACCTCCTCACCGGAATGTTCCGACGTTGGCGCGTAAACCTGAATGACCTTCAGCGAATACCGTTTGGTGATTCTGAGTATAAGGTACGCAACACTCGTCGATACACTCCCAATCATTAAAACGTTGTTAACGAAAGACCTGTGGACGATAAATCCATCACCTCCTTGGGACAGATGGTCGCCCTCCCGGTGATAGAACAAGTTGCCGGATTTGAGAATCACCGTGTCCACCCCCTCTCTTTGGACCTCGGATAATCCTATAGTATTTCAGCGCAACTTGTCTACCTCTTCTGCCAGCTCCAGGATCTTCTCGTCAGTCCTCAGGGTACATGCGTTATATTGAAATAATACTAGTTTTTACGGAATTTATCGCGTGTTTTTAACTTTTTAATTACCCGACGTTTCGAACGCTTTAGAGCACTCATAATCACGGGCAGGACCGAGATGTTCAACGTCCATATGTCATAGTTAACCGCGGTTACCATAGATTAAAATTTAACTTTTGTTCCGATCTATGCAGTATGAACTTATGGTATCTTGAAGTCTTGCAGTTGTATGCTTGGGTTGGGATTTAATTTTATTTATTATAGGATCCCAAGCAGATGGTAGCACCCAGCCATCTTCTCTATTGAAATTAGGATGTTTTTTGATTTCAATAGCCTCGCGAATCATCCTTGGAAGGAATCGGTGTTCTTTAGCTAGGATCTGCGGTCTATCAAATCTGATGTAGTGACGGGGGCGATCCTGTACGTGTTCACAGACTGCAGACTTCCCGGAGCGTCGATTCTTCACATCAGCCATATGTTGTTTAACGCGGGTTTTTATTAATCTTTTAGTTTGTCCTATGTAGGAGAGACCACATTCACAATCAAGCTTGTACACTCCTGCATCTTGCAGAGGGACATTACACTTGACCGATGGTAAAAACTGACCAATCTTCTTCAGCGGCTTGAAGTATGTTTTGATGGAAGCGCGCTTCAAGATGTAGCCAATCTTGTCAGTGACTCTAACATATGGCAGTACAGCAGGTACACGCTCGACTGTGGCCGGCTTCACTCGTTCACTGTGACGTAGGCGCGGGTCTCGAAGCTTGTTGTCATGCAAAACTTGCTTGACATGGTGGAGCTCTGCAGCCAGGTGTTTACTGTCACAGATCCCTCGTGCTCTCTGAAACAAAGATTTACCCACGGTAGCTAACTGTGAAGGATGGTGGTGAGAATCACCGTTTAAATATCAATCTGTATGGGTCTTTTTTCTATATACAGTATGGCTCAAGGTGTTATCAGGATTCCGAATTACTAACACATCTAGAAAAGCTACGGAAATGTTTGCCTCTAACTCCATTGTGAACTGAATTTTAGAATTTATAGATTTAAGATGATCTAAAAATGCAGTTACTTTATCTAAAGGTAGAATTGTGAAAGTGTCGTCTACGTACCGCTTGTAGAACCTTGGATTTATGGGAGAACTAAGCAAGGCTTTCTCCTCAAAGTCATCCATGAATATGTCGGCGACAATGGGAGATACAGGTGAGCCCATCGCCACACCATCTACTTGCTTGTAGAACTCCTCCTTCCACAATAGGTAGCCAGATGTAAGGCAGTGTCTGAGTAATACTGCATATTCTACGGGCATATTGTTTTCTTCCAGCCTTCTAGTTACAATTGAGATGCAGTCTTCAACTGGTAAGCATGTAAACAATGACTGCACATCAAAACTGACCATAGTTTCATTGTCTGCCAGATGTAGGTCTTTAATCTCGCTGACAAAATGTTAGCTACCGTGGGTAAATCTTTGTTTCAGAGAGCACGAGGGATCTGTGACAGTAAACACCTGGCTGCAGAGCTCCACCATGTCAAGCAAGTTTTGCATGATAACAAGCTTCGAGTCCCGCGCCTACGTCACAGTGAACGAGTGAAGCCGGCCACAGTCGAGCGTGTACCTGCTGTACTGCCATATGTTAGAGGAGTCACTGACAAGATTGGCTACATCTTGAAGCGCGCTTCCATCAAAACATACTTCAAGCCGCTGAAGAAGATTGGTCAGTTTTTACCATCTGTCAAGTGTAATGTCCCTCTGCAAGATGCGGGAGTGTACAAGCTTGATTGTGAATGTGGTCTCTCCTACATAGGACAAACTAAAAGATCAATAAAAACCCGCGTTAAAGAACATATAGCTGATGTGAAGAATCGACGCTCCGGGAAGTCTGCAGTCTGTGAACACGTACAGGATCGCCCCCGTCACTACATCAGATTTGATAGACCGCAGATCCTCGCTAAAGTACACCGATTCCTTCCAAGGATGATTCGCAAGGCTATTGAAATCAAAAAAACATCGTAATTTCAGTAGAGAAGATGGCTGGGTGCTACCATCTGCTTGGGATCCTATAATAAATAAAATTAAATCCCAACCCAAGCATACAACTGCAAGACTTCAAGATACCATAAGTTCATACTGCATAGATCGGAACAAAAGTTAAATTTTAATCTATGGTAACCGCGGTTAACTACGACATATGGACGTTGAACATCTCGGTCCTGCCCGTGACCATGAGTGCTGTAAAGTGTTCGAAACGTCGGGTAATTTATATTATTAAATTAAATTATATTATTAATTTATATTATTTTCGACTAAGGTCGTGAATTTTTATCTACAAAAAAGGAATAAAATGGTGCATAAAAAAATTATGAAACGGAAGCCCAAGGGACAGTTTATGTGAATCGATGTATAAATCACACATTCTCGTAAATTCTTTTCAAAGTAACGCTATCTTTTCCAATAACGGGAGTTAGACGATGAAATAGTTTGTGTACTAATATTACAGAAGAAAATTACATCGTTAGGAGATTATAATATTACAGAATGGAATATGTGAGTTGAAAAAAAAAAAACTTCTTAAATTGTTAAAATCATAATATAAGTCGATTGCGTGCTAATCGTCATAACGAATGTACTAGTATATAATTTAACTGGACAGAAATGTTGGCTATATACAATTATTTTAAACTAATGATCATTGGTATGTAAAAATACAAATTATTTCATAAATATTACACGTAAAGTAAAAAAAGTAATGCCTACTTATGCTCCACAGCTGGGCACAGGCCGCCTCTTATTTCTGAAAGGATTTTAGTGCAAAGAAATGTCCGCGCGCTGCCCCAATGCGTGTTGGTGAACTTCAGATGAGTTCGAAATATATTTTTCTTATACTTACTCGTATTAAGTATTTATTTTTAATGAAAATTTATTTTATCTGCATCGCAAATAATAAGCGAAATACGATTTTGGTGTATTTTATATAGAATAAAAATAAATAAAAAGTGGATGCTAAGTATCAAAGTACGTTGTCACCTCTTAGGACATATATGGAATGCCTCGTTTCCACTAAAAAAGGGTCTTCGGTTCTCTATTCTGACCATACGAAGTATACCAGCACTGAACTGCTATTTCACTTAAAACATTGCATTATTTTGAAGCCAATTTATACTTTTTATTGAAAGATTTTTTGAGTTCTTTTTCACGACAGTAGTCGAATGGCGGATTCAATCGCAAAACCTTTAGAGTTTGCGGTGCACGTCTTTTATTAAGGTACTGTCTCTTAAGCCTTTATTTATTTATGGTATACTTGTATGATGTGCAATCATATTTTCACTCGGCAAAGCTGCTTTTAAAATACATTTTGCTACAAAATATCATTTGAATTTCACTAACGAACTGATATTATTCATACCAGTGCTTGATTCAACCAATAAAGTTTTATTCTGGTGGAGTATTGACTCATCCTTTTATCCCAGTGGTAAGTTTTATTCATCTGGAGTAAGCACTCGAATATGTAAATAAAGTCAAGGGTCCGCCTAAATTAAATTAAGTAGGAAGTGAACGAGGTTTTTATCTAAAGGACGAAGCATTTATTGTGTTGGCATGAAATTGATTAATTTAACTTTTAATAAAAATATTAATTTATATACATAATATTCAAATAAGTTTATAAAATATTTATTACCATTATAACGAAACTAAAACTACAACTTAAGGGCCTACCTAAAATGGCTTTGCAAGATTCTCCGCTATGCCGAAAATATTGCGAATCTTTAATTTTGAGAATCAGAATAATATGTATGTAATTATAGGAAACGTTCCTAAGTCACGCTGATGGCTCAGCGCTGACATTCGTCGGCACCGAGCCGCGCGCGGCTGTACGCATCTACCGTCGGCGCCGCTGAGCGCTGAGCGCTGACGGCGGCTGTAGACGCTACACAAAGCAGTAAGCGTTGCATTGTCACGCCGAAATCACGTTCCGATGAGTACCTACTGCCATGTCGCAAATTCGAAATATAGACACTGGCCGTGTATTCAATTATGTAAGATTAAAAAGATGTTTATGGGATGCTTTGGGCCACAACAGTGGTTGCATTATTTGGAGATGTACCACAAAATGAAAAACACATTTTGGGTAAGTCTGATTTTATTAAAAAACTCAAAAGTGTAGACTATTATAGCAGTAAGTATTGAAAATTTTGGATGGAGTGATTTATCTGGTATATTGCGATATATCTATGTATATACATAAGTAGGTATCTAAAATATATCTGTCTTGCCAGGGAACATTGCGTATTGGCGTCAGAAAGTATTCAGCAAAATGTTCTCGCAACGCGTTCTCTAATCTGTTATTACGAATATTATGTTACACATCAACCATGCCTTTCAGTGTAAGTAAATATATTTTCAACTTTGTAGCCGTCTCGCACCCTTATTAAATTATGCAAAATGCAACATGCCTTTACAATATTTTTTGCAACTGGCAAACTGGCACTCATGGGGGTATGAAATATTATAAATTTATTTGACATAATGCCAAATGTGGATTCAATGTATCTTCTTGCACGACTTAACTTACTTTTACGAGTTACGTTACTACGGGAGTATGGCTTCATTACGTACTTAGATATGCCAAAAGCACCATTGCAAAAAATCGCATGTTGAACAGATACATCTGTGCTGGGTAGAGATTAGAGTCCAGGCATATTAAATGTGTTGTTTTCTAAGCTTCGGAACAGTGCACTGTCTTTAAAAATAGAGGAGTCCGAATCTTTTCCATAAGCTCCAATGTTTACGTAAGTTTAACAATAATTTGTATCGCACATTACTAGGTGAACTATGGAAAAAAGTGCTTATAATTGTAAAACATGGATCCCCCTACTACAGTATCAATAACTCTTATATTTTTACCATCAATCACCCCAATACAATTGGGAGAGTTAGCATTTTGAAGAAATCCTGCATTCGTTTCTTGCCATATTTCAGTGCTACTTGTTCGCAAACATTAATCGAGTAGTTCTTTCCAAATGGCTGAACAAACCTCATTCACAATTAGACTGATGGTGAATGTTCCTATCCTGAATGAATATTGTAGATCTTTATAGGACTGTATAATAAAATATTGTTATTGTTTTAGACAAACTTATGAAAACGAAGACACGTATGAAAAATACGTCTTCTGGAAGTGGCGCTAAAATCTCGAAATATATGTTTTTCGAAGAAATAAGGTTTTTGGATGGAGTAAATGACGAAAACGTAGTTGACGAGTTATTGCAGGAACTGGGTGATGCTGATTTTGTTACGCAGGAATGCGGAGAGTAAATTAATGCTACTGAAGAAACCGCTCTTACAGACAGAAGAACTGTCATGCAGCATGTCAATGATAATACTACAGTAACGCAGAGGTCATGGTCACAAAAGCGGAAAAATACACCGCGCCAATCTTCCCAACAAAGAGCTGTGGTAGCTCAGATGGTTAACGCCCGCTGTAAATATAATAGAACGCGAGTAACCCGGGTTCTATCCCCGCCGGCACCAATGAAATTGTTAATTGCACTTTTAAATGATGATTTACCACGTGCTCGGCGGTGGAGGAAAACATAATGAGGAAACCTGCATGTCTGAGTAATAAGGAAAAAACATATTTCGAAGATATGTGAAGTTAGTCAACACGCATTGGGGCAGCACGGCGGACATTTCCTTGCCCCAAAATCCTCACAGAAAGGAGGGGAGGCATGTGCCCAGCAGTGGGACGTTTATAGGTTATAGGCTGTAACTTTATTTTAATTTTTAATCTTCCCAACAAACTTCACAATTTTAAAAAGAACTGTTGGTTTTGTTAAGCAAACAGACCCCTGACCACAGTAGTTATGACCTGGCTTTCTTTTCTTCTTTGGGTCCAATTTTGAATAGTTTTGATCTTTATCACAAGTTGGAGTTTCATACAAGAGTCTTAAATGTAGCTAAGGATATAAAAATATGTACCAAACACGTAGCGGTAAATTAACGTCAATGGGAAATGTCAGACAAATACGAGTACATGGCAGACACCAAATAACTACCATACCGAAACGGCAGGGTATCAAACACAAATAGCAGGTTATCAGACACAAACAGGATATCAGACAGCCAATAATTATGTGTGTGGTGATAACGAAAATCAATAAATAAATATGATTATTTTTTAAATTTTAGTTAATTTAATATGTACAATTATGACTAATAAAAAATATGATTACATACTTTCATTATTTTGCTTATTTATTTACCAAACTTACACACCTTTTATAAGTAAATATTCCAGTTTCAAAATATGAATACAGCGTATTACTTATAAATAGAAAAATATTTTATTTATTTTCGTCATAAAAGAGAAGAAAAGTAGAATTAATATTTCTTAAATTCTAATCTTATCTAACTTGTTTTGTTTGAGGTTTACAAACGTTTGTAACAGCCAAACGTTCAATCGGCGATATGGGTGCACGCCCTAATCTGTTACGGGATAGCTTATCCTGTAACTTCACTAGAAGCTCGTCAAAATTTTTTGATGACATGCGAAAGTAGTTAAAGAATTTGTATTCATTGGAGCTCAACTCTCCATATAATGAGATAAATGTTACACTAAGTAATCTCTAAGTAAGAAAGGAATGAACATATTGCCTTCTTTTAGGTTGTCTTTTTTTTCATAAATAATACGCAGCAATAATTTTCACAACCGACATCGTGACTGTACCTAGCAGTAATGAACGTGAGACTAAAACGACTCGAGCTGACAGGTCAGCGGTGACAAGCTACGCGCTGACAATCAGCGCCGACGATCGGCGTGAGAGTAAAGCCAGCCTCAAATGGAAAAGCTTACGCTTCACTTTTCGCTTACGATCAGAATACACATTACGTAACAATACGACGTAAAATTAAAATTGGAAATAACTACAATAAAAATAAGAAGCGACTGGGTTGGCGTAAATAAACAGGCATAAATATGATAAACCTAATGAAATAAGTATGTAACGAACGTATAAAACTTACAGTATCAATGATTACAAAAATTTCGTTAGATAGCGTAAGACGCGCGGGGAAGTTGGGGCGAAATTAGAATTTGAGCTGAGGTATTATAAGCCCTTTAATTATCATAGAGTTTTATTCCCGCGTTATTCAAAGCCAAGAACGCTGGCTGTGTTTCCTCGCTGAATGACTATACTTAACTTTTAAGGGAGAAAATAGTCAGCCCTCTAAACCCAGCACGACAACCAGTTTCTTTATGTACTTAATTGCATGCAAACCCCACGAAACGATAGAAATTAATAAGAAAATCCGCTATAAAAAATTGCATCCACATAATCCCTCTAACGTTAGGCCTTTACTCGTAATTCTTCGACACATTATGTTTTAGTATCAATTTACTATTAACCGACTTATTATTAAAAGTTTAATTGTTTTTCTTTAAAGTAGTCTGAATAAGTAACTCCTAGAATGTCGTTTAAATAGGCACATCAGAATTAAAAATGAAATGGCATGTTTATTTAAATTAACATTTAATCATCCCTAATGTCTAAACTATTTTTCTAAAAACAATTATTTAAATAGCTACAGTCGTTTCTCAGAAATCTATCTAATCTAATCTAATAAAATCAAACAATGATATTAAGAATGCCACAAAAAAGTTTTCAAAGTTCTTCTCCGAGAACATTACCTGAGTGCAACTACTAATTGACGCTACTTTTCTTTAATTCTTGTCTTTTTTCTTCTTCTTCAAATATTTATATGCATCATTCATATCATTCATAAGGACATTTATTTACGAAGTTTATAAGCAAATATATAATATTATATATATGTATGTACGTATATTTACGCTATATGTGTGTATATTTAAATGTATTGTGTATGTATTACTTTTTATATATGCATATTTTAATATATGTGCACTTTATTTATGTATAATGTTCGCACCAGCCTACAACTGTCCTTGGCACCCAGGGTTGACTGGCAGAGAATGCCACATGGCATTAAGTCTGCACTATGTACCCTTTAGCTTAAGGTGTTATATGTAAGTTTTAAATAAAAAAAATCAAATACATATGTTATGATTATTCATTCATTTATTTCGACCAAGAAGGTTCATAGCTTAACATTTATTCAATCAAACTGTATGCATTAAAGATTTAAATAACTATTCCAAGTAATTTATGAAATGCATAAGTATTCGTAATAATAATAAAAATAAAATAATAATTAATATAATAAAAAATCATAAAATAATTAATAACAATGACACGAAATTTAAATAATATAAAATTTCATATAATATATAAAACATTCTCGTTTTATGAATTTGGTTGGATGAAATAGAACTAAAATAATTTATAAGAAAGTCTAATTACGTTTTAATTTAAATTTTGAATAAAAAGTGGATTTTATCTTTCGCTTCCGGTATAAGCTTTATAAAAAATCTATTAAACATTATTAAAAAGATATACTCGTGACTTTTGCTTCATAATAATGTATGAAGCAAATACCACGGTACGAAATTAGTTGATAGATTTTACTTCCCCCTTTCTACATTTTTTCCCACTCTGAATATTAGGTATGTGCCAAGAGTCTAAAACAATGTGTGTTTTTCTTATTAAGTTACTAAGCTATGCATAATAATCTTAAATACCGGAGGAAAGTCTTTCAGGCTCTTCGAGACACAAAGCCTCAAGATATGGAGGCACCCCTATTTATTTATTTATTTAACAAGTACACTTACAGTACACATATATGACAATCACGAAAACATACACATTTCTATAATTTCTAATACGTATATCCATAAAAAGTGTACATAACATTCACAAATTGAGTCGTGCAATTTTGGCTTAATTTGGAGTATAAATATCATCCGATTAATACAATGCAAATTAGATTTATTCAAATAAATTATGTACCTAAAAAAGATCCCGATACTAAGGTTCAAGGGAATCTTTAGTAATCGTACTTATTAGGAAATCTTTTCTAGTGAGTCTCATCTCTTTTTTTCTTAGGGAGAAATCATGAGTTTTAAACCTCACGATTTCTCCCTATTGTACAGCAAATGCAGCATAGTATATTTGTTACTCTGGCAGAAAGCTTTCTAGAAATTTATTGAAAATGAAAAATCAACTGAGTATTTATTATTTGTTGGTAGACGAAAGTTTTCTTTAACATTTCTTTATTCAACTCCTTTGACATCAAAGGATCTTTGAAAAAAACTTGTAATGTAATAAAGAAAAAAGTTATTATAATTGAAATGTTTCTAAAAGCAATTTGTTAAATTCTTTCATATTGATGAATTTCGATCTATTTTGATAAACTAATTTATAATGTCATAAAGTGGACAGTATGATATAGTCTTGCTAAGATAACCTTACTTTTATATAGAATAAGGGTGACAAACGAGAACACAAGTCCAACTGATGATAAGTGAATGCTGTGGTCCATAGACATCTACGTTTTTTCTAGAGTAAGAATCAAAATGCCGACGCGTTGTCACCGTTGATGACTAAGACGGAATTTCTCGTATCCAGTAAAGGTATTATAAATCGATGTAAAAAAGAGCAATTAAATTTATGATAATAGATACTTTGTCTAATTTACTACATGGAGCAACACGGTCCACCGACGAACCGGAGGGTAGCCATACATATGAGTCGCGTTAAAACAAATCCTCGATAAAAAACCAAAATGGAGATTCGATATCACCCCTGAGACCTCAGATAGAATGCTTTGTTTCGAGTAAAATTGGACTACAGTTCTATACCTTCACCATACAAAACATCGACATTCTCACCGAAGCAGTATTAGAAGCTACTTTACGCTGATATTCTGCGAGAGTTTTGTTCTGTAGTGGTTGTCGTTATCGCGTTAATGAATTGGGATCTGAATGGATGCTGAGTTTCATAGCAGTTTTTTAAATCATAGCTTTAGGAATGTGCAACTTTCTTTATTTGCTTTAAAGAAGATATGCTAAATTCTTCGATATTGCATTTTTAGCTTGGTAAGTTTTAATGGCTTAATTTTGCATGGATCTAATTACAACACTCCGGTTTTCTGTGAAATCATAGACCTTCTCTGGTCGAGAATTTCGGCGGAAGTATACACTTAGACAACACTTTTGTAATTTTAACTTAACAAACTTTTAGTTCGTCACTAGGAATGGGGGGTATACTACTCAGCCAAGTACACAGCTCGCAAATGAGATTTAGCGTTGAAATAAGTAAGGAATGAAATATGTAACTAAACCTTTGTGATTACATTCAATTTCAAATAATAATATTGATGTATCGATTTCATAGCTTATA